GTTAGGTTTGGTTAGGTACGGTTAGGTTCGGTTATATAAGATGTTTATATTTCAACCGAACCAAACCGGACCTAATATAACCATAATGAGTGCCGTATCCTTACAGTGCTCCCATATAGGTACGGCAGTTGCCTAGCTTTGGGGTAAAAAGCTTGTATAATCGAACCAAACCGTACCTAACATAACATAACTAGAAAGATGCTTTACCAGGTCAATAATAAGGCACACTGCCGTACCAATAGCGGATGACAACAGGGTACGACTGCCGTATCTCTAAGCACTTCGAAAATATTCTCTAGAGCATTCTGGTGAAGATGTAAAATAATACCGTATTTTCTCTTAAAGATTATTTTTATATAGTCACTTAACAGCCTCGTACAGCTTATAATTATACCTTAATTATGCAGTGTAATGGCGGTAATTGTATATAAATTAACCTGTCTTTCAATCATCATCTTCTACTTGTATATCTCATTACAGCCACCCATTGACCCATTCCAACCCTTAATTAATGGGTAAGATATATATAATTACCTTAATGATGCAGTGTAATGGCGTTATGATGTATATTTAAGCTTCTGTTCATGTGTTGTTGTTGTTGTTTTAGGGCTGCGAGGATCCCTTGGGGAACACTATGACCTTACCTGGTGATGTCCTATGATGCTATCACAGGCGCGGTAGTTGACCTGTCCTCCTCAGGAAGGCACAGGTGAGGCGGATGACGGTGTGTTGCCGGGAGGGGTGGACGCCAGCCGCCGCCAGCAGGGTGGGCAGGTCAAAGGTGTTGATGTTCAGAGCGAGGAGTTGAGACTGTAGCACTATACGGTGGGAGTGGAAGCGTGGACACTGCAGCATAAAGTGTTCAATAGTCTCGGGGACGTTCCTGCACCAGGGGCAGTCAGGATCAGGGGACAGATGTTGTTGTTGTCTCTGCCGATGTAAACAAGAAAACAGTCCCGCTATTTAAGACGGGAAGCCAGGACTGTTCGTTATATTTTAATATACCAGATTGTTTAAGGAAATGTAATGAATATTATAATAATAATAAATGATGAATAATTTTAATGGTTTAAAAAAATGGAAAAAAAAAGTATTCGATGACGTATATATAAAACGAAAATCTGAAAATTTATTACACATCGTAAAGCAATTATATATATTTTAAAGAATAGATTAAGATACCTAACGAGATTCTACATAACTATTTTTTATATTGAAGTCACATTAACCGCATGAAAAAAATAAATAGAAAATATACACATAAAATATTCAAAAATAGCAAACATACAACAATAGTCAAGTTAACCCAATGTAAACCATAGAATAAGATATAAAGAATTATTCAGACACACAATGAATGATAATAAAAGCGTACAACCTGAAAAAACTACGAAAATAACAAAATATTAGAAAAAACAACACCCCTATATCTAAACTAATATAAACCTTAGAATACTATTAATTATACAAAATAATCACAAAAAAATAACAAATTCAATGAACCCAATGCTATGCGGAAGTATGGTAAAGTATTGCCGAAAATTGCAAAAAATACATTATCATTACCATTTATAAACAAACATCAAAATAAACCTA